AAATCCCAAATATGAAATGGTGCTTATGGTGTTAATGGACACATTTAGCTCGGCTGCAAACGTTTCTCGGTTTTAGACTACTCTATATCCAGAAGGGCTATAATATTACACAATAAAATATAATTCTTAGAGATATCCTTCAAGTAGAAACATTGCAACCAAAGTAAATTAGTCCATTGATAAGACTTAATCTAACAGCATAACTGTAAAAGAGAGCCATAGTAAATTGGCCATTTTTTACATTTTAGAGAACTGCATTCTAAAAAGGTACAAAAGATAAAAAGTTTTCTGTGTAATCTGAGTCTTATCCATATTAATAAATGGAAAATTATTCTCATGGTTAAAGGATGTACAAAAAGATTATTAGAAGTCATTAGGTAGTTGGTACCTCTACTTTAATGTGTAAATATATTACAGAAAAAACGTCGTTAGTTTTTTGTTGGTTTTTGTTCTTACAACAATTACAGTCACAACAGTCAAACAACAAACAAACACTTTAAAATATAAATTCTGTAATTGAACATTTCAAATATTTGGATTAATAAATTTCAAAGCTGGCTGTCTTTTTTTTATTTATTCTGATTCTTTTGAATTTTTTTCCTCCTTGATTCTTCTTCCTTTTCTTTTTCTGTTTTATCTTTTTTTTTTCGTTTTTGTTCCATTCTTTTTTTGATATTTGTGTGTCTTATTTTGTTATTTTTTTGTCTTGAGTGAAGGTCATTGACCTTCACGAAACAAGTCATTTTTTATTGTAAGCGAACGATCAGGACTAAAGGCACTAACAATAGTCTAGTGTACAGTGTGGAATTGCAATCAACATCTTTCCTCTTCTCACTCTATTATTTATTGCACTCGGCATACTTTTTATAAAGTATATAATTCCCGTTTTTTTCTCAGACACAAATCAAGGATAAGAAAAATATAGCAACTGGATGACCGAGGCTTGGGTAATGAGAAGAATAACGATTTTAATATCAATGAATAATTATGTTAAATCATGCACCTGCTGCTTATTTTATACTTGCCGTGCATCACAACCTTAACAGCATTAAAG